TATAGCAAAGCGTGCATCAGATTTAATGTAGTAACATGTGTGACTAGAATTTTACTAATTTTTGTTGCCTGTGAGTTTTCCTTATAGAGGATTCTCTCCATAAAAGTGATGGTCTTTTGTTTTTATTAAGAAAACTCTTTTTAAAATAATTTGAAAAATTACACAGATTTTATATGTCAATGATAATTTCATGTATATGTGTAGAATTTAATGTTAGTCCTTTATTCTAACTTGATGTCATAAGCATGGAGGCCTGGGGGTGCTCAGTGGAGAGCTTGCCTAGCTTGTGCAGGACCCTAGGTTTGAGACCCAGTAGCCAAAACAAACCCCCACAAAAGACAAAATATGGAATATTCAAAGGTTGAGTTAACAGTGGCCTGCTAATAGTATATGAACAGATCCTAGGGCTGGGGAGAGACTCTGGGTAAGAGCTTGCTGGGAAAGCAAGAGGATCCGAGTTCAAATCCCGGTACACATTTAACAGCCAGGCATGGACACACATGCCTGTAACACCAGGGGTAAAGACAGGTGGATCCCAGGAGCTCACTGGCCAGTCAGCCTAGTTCAACAAAGCTCTGGGTTCAGTGAGAGACCCTGTCTCATGGTAATAACATGGAGCGTGATAGAGGGGGACACCTTGCACCCTGCTCTGGTCTCCACATGTGCATGTATAGGGCATATGTACACCCACACACACATGCACATACGCCACACACAGAGACCACACACACACACATACACACACACACGTGCACACACAATAAATAATAAAAGAAGGTCTGACAGCAGATCTTAAGGAAAAGCCAGGTTTGAATGGTGGATAGTTATTCTCAAGAACACAGCGGCTGACAGTGCACTTCAGGATGACATGTTCCTTTCTCCAGATGAAGTCCTTTGTGAACCAAATTTCTCTCAATGGTTAATGACTCGTTGCATTTCTTAGAAGAGGTGTGCTGACAGTTCACTTCGGTCTCATGTAAAATATAAAGCCGATCAGAGGCAGGGAATTTAAGGGCCACAGAGGACAACATCGATCTTGTCACAGTTACAGAGTCACATTCCTACTTTAGCTCCTTGAAGCGGAAACTATGCGGCACATCTTCATGAACAATTACCATCTGTGCAACGAGATCAGCGAGAGGGTCGTCCAGCACTTTGTGCACTGCATCGAGACACACGGCCGCCACGTGGAGTACCTGAGGTTTCTGCAGACGATCGTGAAAGCAGATGGCAAATATGTGAAGAAATGCCAGGATATGGTCATGACGGAGGTAGGTCCCGGCCTCGTCAGCTTTGAACACACAGCATGCTCAAATGCACAGCATCTGTCTGTCAGAATATGAAGAAGTACCTGACCTCCTAGAATTGTAAGATTATTTTATTATCATAACTACTTAACTACATACCATGTATAATATATTGGTGCTTAAGTAACACAGTACAACTTTATGATTTTCTTGGGCACTACACACATGGTGCACTTTGATGCATGTAGGCAAAACACTCATACACATAAAATACAAAGTTTTTTGAGACAGTGTCTCCCTGTAGTACCAGATGGTCTGGAACTTGCTATGTAGACCAGACTGGCCTTGATCTCAGAGATTGGCCTGTCTCTGCCTCTCAAGTTCTGGGTAAAGACGTGTGCCACCATGCCCAGGATAAGAATGTTTTGTTTTTTTTTTTAAATTTTAAATAAAAGTTTTCCTTTTGTATTGTGCATGCTTACCTGTATGTATACCATACATGTGTAGGTCCCTGTAGAGGCCAGAAGAGGGCATCAGATACCCTGGAATTGGAGTTACAGGGGTTGTGAGCTGCTTGATATGGGTGCTGGGAACTGAACCTGGGTCCTCAGTAAGACCAGCAAGTGCTCCTAACCCCTGAACCATCTCTCCAGCTCCTACAATGGGCTTAAGATCACAAGACTATTTGGAACTAAAGTGACACAATTTTCTTTAAGTTTTCAGTAGTATAACAGAGATTGAACTCTAGTTCTTTCTGAATTATAGAATGGGCATTTTTTGCTCTTATTTGCGAAGGTTTTGAAGAACACCAAATGAGTTAATAAAAACTGCATGTCAGTGCTTTATTGCAGCAGTGGAAACTGGTTATTTAAAATAGGGATTTTTTTGAAGAATCCTCCACTGTGGCTGCCAGACAGTTACCTAGCAGGTTACCTGGGTTTGGGAAAATTTCCATCTTCACATGCCTTGGATTTGAAAATTACAAATATTTCCACATTGATTCATCTTGCCACTTAGAAATCTTAAAAATCAATTCTTCTTAAAGTTTTTAATTTTTAAGTATACATTATTGTAGTTGAACAATAAAAACATTGTGACGTTAATAACGTGCACCCTTAACAAGCTTATATTGGGGCTGGGGGGATGGTTCAGTCTTCAAAGCTCTGCACAAACGTGAGGACCTGAGTTTGATTCCCAGCACCCATGTAAGAATTCGGGGCTGGAGAGATGCTCAGTGGTTATGAGCACTGGCTACTCTTGCAGAGAACCTAGGTCCAATTCCCAGCACCCACATGGTGGCTAACAACCATCTGTAACTCCATTTCCAAGGGGATCCGATGCCCTCTTCTGACTTCCACAGGCATTGCACAACATGGGTGCACTTACATGCAGGCATTACACCCATACACATGAAATGAGAATAATAAATAAAATACTTAAAAAGAAAAAGAATTGGGCCCAGTGAAATGGTACCCAGTGGTGCGGAGACAAAGGCAGGAGGCTCCCTGGGGCTCGCTGGCCAGCCAACCGGCTGTATTACTAAACTACAATCTACTATTCAAGAGAGACCATGTCTCAGAAAATAAGGTGGAGAACAGTAGAAAAAGAAACCCAGTGTGACCTCTGGTCTCTGCACACACACGTATGCACACACACATACGCACACACAAAAATCTGTTTACGTTCATGTTCTTCATTGCTTAAAAATGTGTATAGACTAATTTGATTTTATAATCTGATCATCAAAGAAAGGATCAGATACATAAGCAAATACATAAGCTGTTTCTAAGGCACTTATCAAAGGAAATGTTACTATGTATAAGGAAATATTTTCACTATTATTTTAATGTATAACATTTTGGACATATATACATTCTTTTGAAACAAAATGTCAATGTGTGGCAATTGACTTTCTGATTTAAATGTTACCAATTTAAATATAATAAATTAAAATTTAAATATCCTTTGTTACCTATTGCGATTAGAAAATTGGTATTAGTAATAGAAAATAGATAACAATATGTCATTTGAGCCGTAGAATTTGCCACCTGCTGGAATTCTCCATTAAAATTCCGTAGCAGCAGATGGAGGAAGAGTTGTGTCCTAAGCTGACACTCCTTCATTTCTTTGTGATCTCAGCTTTCATTTCTTTTCCTTTCCATCAAACATGGATTTTGTTTTTTTGAGACATTGTCTCACTATGTAGCCCCGACTGACCCAGAATTCGCTATGCAGACCAGGCTGACTTTGAACTCACAGAGATCATTCTGCCTCTGCTTCCAGAGTTCTGGGATTAAAGGCGTGCATTTAATTTTAGCTTGAATTTTCCAGATTTTTATCGTAGTGCTTGGCTCAGGGCACTAGCTTGCTTAGTCACCAGTGAGGTGGATATGCCCAATTTACTGTCCTTAATTAGGTGTCTGTGTGTGGATATGTGCATGTGTGAGTGCAGTGCCCACAGAAGTCAGAAGAGGGCGTTGGCGCCCCTGGAACTGGAGTTACAGGCAGTTGTGGGCCACCCAACACAGGTTCTGGGAACTGAACCTAGGTCCTCCGGAAGAGCAGCACATGGTTTTTCCCACTGAGCCATCTCTCCACACACTATGCTGTTTCTTTTTTGGCTTTTCATTTTCTGAGATAGGGCCTCACTGTGTAGCCCGTACTGGCTTTGACCTCCCTGCCCTCCTGCCTTGGCTCCCCTGGTGCTGGGATTACAGCACGTACCACCAGGCCTGGCTTCATGTTGTTTGGTTGTGCCCCACCTGCTGTTCTCATCCCCTCACCTGGCTTAGCAGAGTTCACGTTAGTTACCTGGCACGTGACTTCAGTCCGTCCCCCATCCTGCCTTGGTGAGGCTTTTGCAGCATTATCTGTGTCTTTTATGTTTTCCAAAGAGATCCAAACATCTCCAGGTAGGCCAGTAATTAGAAATAGCTACAAGGAGAATGTTTGGATTTATACAGATTCTCTTTGCTTCCTTTCAGTTGATCAACGGGGGTGAAGATGTGCTGATATTTTACAACGACAGAGCCTCGTTCCCCATCCTCCTTAACATGATGTGCTCAGAGAGAGCCCGTGGAGATGAGTGTGGCCCCTTAGCCTACCACATCACCCTGGTGGAGTT